TATGTATTATCAGTATGTATAGGGTTACTAAATATTTATATATATTAGATATATTTATGTATTATCAGTATGTATAGGGTTAGTAAATATTTATGTGTATTAGCTATATTTATGTATTATCAGTATGTATAGGGTTAGTAAATATTTATGTGTATTAGCTATATTTATGTATTATCAGTATACCATAGGCTAATGACATGCTGTTCTTGATGCTGGGTGTGAAGGTTAGCACGACCTTAACAAAGTTTTATGTAAGGATAAACGAGCCCATTGTTTTACAGTATATCACCATGGTAACGAAACCATGACGTCAACTCTGCAATTGTCAACAAACGCATATGACCGACATTTATATACTCAACTTTGAGTTTCTTAACATCTTCAGAATTTTCAAAAAGAGTAAAATATTTATAACTCTTATAAGAAATTACAAAACGTTTCAAACAATTTTAATCTCAAGTACCCATGTTAATACTCAAAGGGTAAGGTAAATCCTTTTAACCTTTCTCAAAATTTGCTTTTTACCCTTCAACTGAACGTTAAATGCATTTATCTGTTACCAAGCCATTAAATCTAGCTTTGTACTGTATAGCTGATTATAGAGTTAACCATCGACTTTAACTACCCTTAAAATGATATAATGTAACCTTTGATTTTTTTAGTAGCTTGAGTATTAATGATTAGTTATTTATGTTACAGCTGATCACAGAGTTAACCATCAGATTCAGACAGTTCTGAATAATAGATAAAGTATTACTCATTAACTCTCTACTTTCTAAAGATCACGGAGTTAACCATCAAATCTCAACTATCATGTAAACATATACGTATTAACCATCAGCACTTAACCTTCCAAAAATATGTTTATTAAATAGATCAGTTTTGTAAATTATAAATAATATCAAAGCAAAGGTTTATAACTGCTTTAAATTAAATTTGATCAGAATTTTTTAACCTTTGGTGTTACCCTAAAAAATGTTAACCGAGAAATATTACAGTGTTAACACTTTATTTTAAGATTTAAGAGTGTCCGCAGTGTTATGTGAAATCGTGTATTTAATCGAAAATAACTTCAAAGCTATTATTTATTTTTATCAGAATACAGATTAGTTACCATCATAGAAAATCAAACATTCAAGATCCAGATCCAGGCGAGAAGTCCACTTTCGTCATTCAGTTGGTTCGAGGTGCACAAATATTGGTATTTTTCAGAAAAGTTTGCTCCCAGGCAGTGTTGAATTCCCCCTGCGCACGCCCCCACCCCCCCTCTGTGAAGTCAAGTATTTTAATTAAAGTACATTATTTTCCATTTTGTCGAATTTGAATTTGAATTCATCCCCCCACCACCACCACCACAGCTTGACACCCCTCCCCCTCGGTGGAAAAGTCTGGATTCAACGCTGCTGGCAGGCTTATCCATATTAGCTTCTTCTGTCTATCACGCAACATATTAACCTTGAATTAGTTGCGTGAGAGTGAATTGGGTTATGTATGTCTCGTGCTGTTCTAGTAACGTAGCGTATTGATTTGAACAATCCTGGTGTTTGTGTCTTAACAATTAATCGATTTACGTGTACTGGTTAAGCAGATAACATTCGTATTAACAATGAGTTACAGTTTTCAGAATATCGTGTCTTTGTTGCCTGAATGGTTTTACAAATCAGTGTTTTAATATAACTAGAATAATTATAAGATTCACATACTTTACGTCTTGTATACACAGTGTAAGCGAACGGTTTGTGTTCTCCGATTTATTTAGGATTAGTAGTGAAAAAAAAAAGGTTGCTGAATAGTATATGTTATCACGCGCAAATAGACCGAGATCAGAGAACTTACACAATAGGATAGCACGATTTTCTGTGTGTTTGTCATAAAGCACAAAGTTACACAAAAGTTAACCGTGTTCTGCACGCCGCAAAAATCGAAACCCGAAATTTAGTGTTATTAGCCCAGAGGTTTTTTCACTGAACCACCGGAAGCAGCTTGAATGGTTTGGTTGTTGTTAAACAGAGTCACACAATGGGCTATCTATGTTCTGACCGCCGTGGGTATCGAAACCCGATATTTAGGGTTATAAGCCCATAGAGTTACCACTGAACCACTGGAAGCAGCTTGAATGGTTTGGTTGTTGTGATACACGGTTAAACAATGGGCTATCTATGTTCTGACCGCCGTGGGTATCGAAACCCAATGTTTAGTGTTATAAGACCATAGAGTTACCACTGAGCCTCCGGAGGCGAACACAGCTGAAATACGGTGCGTCATTAAACTTGTAAACGTCATCATTTGTTCTTATGTTCAAAAGCCACGTGCGACTAATTCCTGTCAACTAAATTCTGAGATTTAACAGAATTACAACGTGAAGTTATCGTACATGCATTTCATACTGATCCTCCTTACAAGAAGATTTGATATTATCCAATGGCCATAACTACAGTCAAAATCGGACGTTCTGACCTCTGTCTTCGCTCAGACAAAATTTGGGATTTCGGAGAAAGTCCAAACAGATAATATGAAGAACTAAATAATTAGATAGATCTTAATTTATTCAAGTAATTAAAAGTCGGATGTTTTTAAAATGTTCTACTCCAGCAACAAGCTAGTTTTATTTCTTCTTAACCTTATTCGTGTTCTGTCTTGCTAAAAGCGTTTACCTTAGAAAAATATAATATTCATACACTCAGCTCAAAAGAAGATAGAACGAGTATTTGCCCCAAAGAATACTTTTGGACTTCGAGAGAAAATGTTCAATATTTTTATGTGTGACTAAGATATTCAAAATTCAAATTGTGTTGGATTAGACAGGATTAGTAAATCCTAATCCGCACAAATCAGTTTGACTTTTTCTCTTTGTATTGTGTTGGATTAGGTGGGATTAGTAAATCCGAATCCGCACAAATCAGTTTGACTTTTTCTCCTTGTATTGTGTTGGATTAGATAGGATTAGTAAATCCTAATCCGCACAAACCAGTTTGACTTTTTTCCTTGTATTATGTTGGATTAGATAGGATTAGTAAATCCGAATTCGTAATCCGCACAAATCAATTTGACTTTTTCTCCTTGTACTGTGTTGGATTGGATAGGATAAGTAAATCCGAATTCGCACAAATCAGTTTGACTTTTTCTCCTTGTAATGTGTTGGATTAGGTAGGATTAGTAAATCCGAATCTACACAAATCAATTTGACTTTTTCTCCTTGTATTGTGTTGGATTGGATAGGATTAGTAAATCCTAATCCACACAAATCAATTTGACTTTTTCTCCTTGTATTGTGTTGGATTGGATAGGATTAGTAAATCCTAATCCACACAAATCAGTTTGACTTTTTCTCTTTGTATTGTGTTAGACAAGATATGATTAGAAAATTGTAAACCACACAAATCCATTCAATTTTTTTTACTTGTTTTCGTTTATCTATGAAAGTATGTACATATTTCTGTAACGTGCTACATGTTTTTAATTCTATATTTATGCACATTTTTCTGTTACATGCTACATTTTTAATTCAATATTTATGCATATATTTTGTTACATGCTACATGTTTTTAATTCTATTGTTGTGTATCTGCTTGTTTGTTAATTTGCCGTAGAAATTCTTTCGGAGAAACTTCAGCGATACAAGTCCTTTCTTAATTAAGACTAGTGTATTCTTTCTCGATACAACTTTGTAATACACAGAGTTTCCACAGTCACTTTAAATTTAACTACTTTTATAAACACACGCTATAATTCACAGCGATTCACACACTTTCCTTACGGTGCCTACTGCTCGCATGACTCGATTATTTCTCTTCAATCTATCTCCGGCTTATATACTAAAAAAGAGGGCGTCTAACAAACGCTGGGACATTCGTGAGGTTGCCCGTGAAGTCACGATCCTTCTAGAAACTCCAGTGCGCATGCTCCCAGCGTTGCGTGACTTCAGCTGTCGTTACACTATATTTATGCACATTTTTCTGTTACATGCTACATTTTTAATTCTATATGTATGCACATTTTTCTGTTACGTACCACATATTCATTTTGTTATATGCTACATTATATTGTTAATCCCACTTTTATACACAATTTTCTGTTACATGCTACGTGCTCATATTTAACTCCATGTTTACAAATGCGCTCTTGTTACGTGTTGTATATTTATTTTTAATTTCCTGTTTATGGTTAACTTTCTGATACATGCTACGTATATTTTTGAAGTTATGACATTTTCGAAGACCTCAACCGGTTATCAATGGAACTCAAAGTGTCTTACACCTGATCAAAAGATTCAGATCATTTTCTTTAGGTTTACCAATCTTTTGTAGTTCGATAAAAGTAGAACAAATGGAAACGAAATACTTTATTAAATCGATAATAGTTGCATGAAAAATTCTGTTTTTGAGAACAACGTACCCTCATCTAAAGTAACAGTTGACGTTAAACTTTGATAGAAACCCGTGTTTCCATCGTAACCAAACAATTCGCTTGTGAGCTACTTGTACAAATATTAGAGGCTTCTTCTATTATACACGTTATTCCACTAGAAACGATAAAGTAAAAATGGTAGTTTTGGTCGATTGGTAACAGTTAAACGTAAAGCTACACAATGGGCTATATGTGTTCTGCCCACCCCGGTATCAACACCCGATATTTATTGCTTAACAACACACATAAAATTTAATAAATACTACACACCTGAAAATATTAGAAAAAAAAATCAGCAGAAATAAGCATTATTTTTCTTTCCCTTATAATTTATTTGTTTTTTTTTTATTTAGCTTACAGCAAGAGTCCAGTAGTACATTAGGTGGACCACGATGCATAACTTTAAACATGCCACATGTCCACAGCTGCATCTAATAACGAAAGATAATAACCATAATAACAAAACTTGTCTGTCCGGTCTTGGTATTACTCGTTACTATCGAGTATAGTTCATTGTTGATATTATCGATTGTGTAAGAGGCTCGCTATTGCGAAATCGGCCTAATTAGAGAGGAGCATGTAAAGCTGTTCTATACTGCGCATGACAGATGGATTATACTCGGATTTAGATGCTGGCACCAGCTAAATTCGGCCAGATACTGTTGTCATAAGCTGTTCAGTAAGTCTTCTCTTGCATTAAACGAAGCATAATGGTGAGTAGAATTGATTATACACTGCACGTGCAAAGTAAGTAAGAGAGAGAAACAAATATATATCTAAATAGACAGACAGAAGCACGTTGGAAGGGACATATACTTACTTTTTTATGGTAAAACTAGGTTACTTAAAGTTTTTTTAAAAATCGTAAAATATTCAGAAACAGTGGACTGAACAAATGGAGGATAGTTATACTAATAGTTAATATGACCAGTTTATTCGATGACTAACATTATGAACTCTATCTATTGGAGAAATCTTCTTAAGAGCATCAAATATTTATGATATAAACTGAACCAGATTTTCAGAGTTAAGAACACATTTCAAAAGTAAATAAATAAATGTCTATTTAAAATTGCCAGAAAAGATCCCAGTTAAAATGATACTTCTATTTTCAATATTATCGATCAATCGTTGCCCTCTTCTCTTTAATATACATTTGGATAGTTACATCTGCAGAGATGAATTACGTTCTTACACTTTTGTAACTGTTTAAACAATGTTTCGTAGATGGTTACTTCTTTTGAGATTTATCACATTCTTACGCTTTGTAACTGTTTTAACAATATTCTGTAGATTGTTACTTCTTTTGAGATTTATTACATTTTTACACTTTTGTAACTGTTTTAGCAATGTTTTGTAGATGATTACTTCTTTTGAGATTTATTACATTTTTACACTTTTGTAACTGTTTTAACAATATTCTGTAGATTGTTACTTCTTTTGAGATTTATTACATTTTTACACTTTTGTAACTGTTTTAGCAATGTTTTGTAGATGATTACTTCTTTTGAGATTTATTACATTTTTTACACTTTTGTAACTGTTTTAGCAATGTTTTGTAGATTATTACTTCTTTTGAGATTTATTACATTTTTACACTTTTGTAACTGTTTTAGCAATGTTTTGTAGATGATTACTTCTTATGAGATTCTTACATTCTTATACTTTTGTAGCTGTTTTAGCAATGTTTTATAGATGGACTATTTGCACTAGCCGTTCTTAATTTAGAAGTGATAGACAAGAGGGAAGGTAACTAATCAACGCCACTCACCGCCAACTCTTTACCAATGAACAGTGGGATTCCCCATCACATTATTACGCCCCCATGGCTGAAAGGGTTAGCATGATCGGTGGTGGGATTCGAACCCGCGGGTTGCGAGTCAAGCATCCTAAGAGTGTTAAAGAAATGTAAAACGTCGTACACGCGACTTAAGTAAGCCTATTTTAAAATTAATTTATATAAATAACTTGATCTGCCTTCTATTGAGACATTGTATATTTTCAGTATAGGAGGAAGGTTTGCATTGTTTTAATCCGTATAATAACATATAGGAATTACAACATAGTTTACTATCGATAATGCTCCCCAGTGGCACAGCGATATGTCTGCGAACTTACAACACTAGAAACCGGGTTTCGATACCCGTGGTGAGAAGAGCACAGATAGCCCTTGTGTAGCTTTGTGCATAATTAAAAACAAACAAACTATCGATAATTTGGTGATATTGATTAAATAGCAGTGAATTCAGAAGAATACTACCATTTCACTCTAGTTAGGACCTCATTTTTATTTTCATTGCAATGACACGTCTGTATCAACTGCAATGTTTGAATATTTAACTATCGGACACACTTTATGATAGTTTATTGAGATATGAAACTGTATTGTTACGAAATTTTAGAATAAATACATGACTGTTTCATTAATACATTTTATTGTTGCCAAAGTTTAATATTGTTGCTGTGATTAGTTCGTTAATGTATTTAATGAACATGGAAACAGTATTGTCGCAGGAGTTTAGCCTTGTTACTGTGATTGTATCATTGGTAAGTTATGTGAAGATTGGGAGCAGTATTGTTGGAGTAACTTGGCCTTGTAACATGTAACATACTGGTATGAAGAGTGCTCTTCTCACGCTTAAAACCGATAAATTGTTAGACCAGTTTGAATGTAATGATGTTTACAGAGTTTTTGTGTGGCTAAAAAACCGACAGTTGTTAGACCAGTTTGAATGTAATGATGTTTACAGAGTTTTTGTGTGGCTAAAAAACCGACAG